TTTTTTTTCTTTCTCAAGTACATGAAAATAAACAGTTTTGAGCATTCATTGTTGCCATGGCGTTTTATCATTAGTTATTAAATCATTTCATTTCTATGTAAATTATAAATATGAATTAAGAGAACAAGAAATTTAAATTAGTATCTGTACAAAAACTTGATTAGATTGATTTCTGTTATTCTATAGGTAACAACACTAATATGTTAAAGATATCTTTGAATACATTGAAGTCTATTTGTTCTAAATGGCGCAAATATGTTAGTGCTCAATCTGTTTTTTTTTGCTGAATTCAAAAATTCTAGAAATTCAATGCAGGTCTATCAGATCAATTTCGTATTCATTCACTGAGCTTATTTTTACTCGTTAACAATTCTTCGCTTAGGTTTTCTTCATAAAACTTCATAGAAATATATCTGATCAATCCTTTTATAGAGAATTTGACTTGACATTTACTGAAAAACAAACAAATCTGAAGGTTGAAAAGAAAAAAAGAAGTTAGGGATCGAAGTATTGAAAGGCTCATTTTTTTAGCTCATCTATTGTTCACTCATTAATCTATATCAATTTAATGCTATAAAATATTTAAAATATTTAAGTTGAATGTCTTTAGAAATTAGATAATAAAGAAAAATTTGAAAATCGCAAATAAAATTCCAATCAACTCAAACAACTGAAATATCATTACAAGCGCTAACAAATGAACCTTACCTTTCAAAATCTTACACTTCAACAAAAGATATTATTCTCACAAAAATACGTACCTGTCTATGTTGTATGATTTGATAACGATGAACTTGTTTATGAGGTTTATTTATTCAGAATGTAAACGGTTAAAAATTGAATATCTAAGTTAGACACAGAGTACATATCTGAAAAAAAAGAACTGAATCTTTTTCTTGGTCCAAATATGAAAAACTAAGAAACGATGTTCGTTTTTTAGGATTACATTGATAGAGATGTTTACAAAATCAAATGTTATTTTAACTTTCATTGTCACGAAACACATATTCAAACGCTGAAAGATTTCATGATGTTTCTTTTCGAAATTATTAATATTATAATAAGCTGTTACTTTAGATTCGTAAATCTCCAAATGGTAAATGTCAATCGACGTCGTATGTTTTTTTATATTAAAATAATATATTTTTGCTGTCTGTTTTCGATTTCGATGTAGAATGTACTGAATTAAACAATTTCAAATATTTTCTTTCTTTAGAGTTGGCATTATTTTTAATAAATGAAATTATTCAATTTTATATCAAATGAAATAAACTACATAATCGTTTTTAATTATTCTATCTCACACTTACCTATGTCTAAAATAAAGCATATTGTCTTCAAGTTTAATGATAAAAAACAGAAATAATCGATTGTAACAAAATTTATGTCAATTTTAAACTTTTAATTGGATCTATTACATTTTTAATTCTTCAAAATTTCTTATTAGTAACTTATCAAGGCTTGAAAACTTCGAAAGAAATGATCGTTCCATTCGATGAATTGATGGAATGAGTTTAAATGGAAAATAATTGGATTCTTTCAATTATTATCATAGAGATTTGGGTATGCTTTTTAATTTCAACTATAGATGTACGTGTGGGTGAGAGCTTGAAGTATGCATATCGATGTACTTCTCTTTTTGTAAGATTTGTCAACCGAGAGAATTTTGGGGTGTGGGTGCTGTTCGTCCCTTCAAGCACATTCATACCTACACCCTAGATCTTAAAGAGACGAAGGAAAACGTTTTCAGTTTTATCATGACTTTCGAGCTTTTCTACAACTTGAAGATTGGTCTATACTCGTGATATTGTTTTCCTCAAGTGTTATATTAATTATTTCTCTTGTAATATGTGAAACAAAATATCCTATCGTTAAACGCAAATGCTTTTCATTCTTATAATGAGATTATCTCACACAATTTTCATTTCAAAATATGTCTGAAAAAATATTTAACCATGGACAAACATCTATTCTGACATTTAATGAGATTCAAAAAGGTTTTCATATAAATGTCCAAGAGAAACCACAACAAATCCTGTATCTGCAAATATCACATTATTTCCAACACCCACACTCAATCGAAATAAAGACTATACTAACAATAGTTTGACGAAAGATTTGAATACATGAAAAAAACAAAAAAGTATTGGAATAATTTTTTTAATGAAACCTAAATAGTATGAAGAAAGCGGTTCTTTTATCTGATCGACAATTCGTATAAAAGACAAAAAAATAATTCGTTATATATTCATTCTACAATCAATAACTCAGGCGCAAGTTACTTGTAACCGTCTCAAACTAAATCAACGAATTCAATGAAAAAAAATGCACAATCGTTGAGTACTATGATCAACTACTAAATTCATATGTTTATTTTTCACTTGGATTTGTTGTTATCGTGTCTCAAGTTGACATCTATACAAAATAGTACTTCACTCTGCGTTTATAATGTAATGTCATAGAGAGTGAAGTTTTAGGTAGCTAACAGGAATTATCTATTTCATTGATCAATATGAAAACATTCATGAGATATCAATTAAACTGAAAAGATTTTATTAAAAACAATCTTTTACAATTTAAGTTTTTCAATACCCAAAACAATTCTGCTGTTTCTTCTATTTCCTCCATCCTGATGATTCAAATGATGTCAACACCTAAAGTATTTCACTGGATAATCGCAACAAATGATTTATTGATAAGTTTCGAAAGAAAAAATTACTATTAAACGGCAAAAGCACGGCATTCTTCTTATCTTTATCCATTACTTCAAATTACGTTCAAAAGAAATTGAAACATGTAAAAACGATAGTGCTTACCCTAGAGAATATACTGAGTTAAGGGTACCCAAAAAAGTACCCTGATACCAGTATGTCACAGGAACTTTTGGGGTACCAAAGTACTTGCGGGTACTTACAGGTACCTAAGTGGTACTTTGGCAAGTACCCTGCTGGAAAATGCACAGTAATTGGGTACCTAAAGGTACTGATCAAGTACTGAATTGGGTACCTTTGCATAGTATTTCTAAGTACCCTGTTACCAAATTTTCAGTATGTTCAGGATCGAACCTGATCTTTGACTTTTTAAAATCTTTCTTTTTCTTGAGATAATTTACTAGATTTTTTTTAACTTTATTCAAGTTAATTTTTTCAATTCCAAAAACTTAGCAGGAACAATGTCGGGATCCGACTCAACTTGAGTTGGTCGTAGACCACTTCAAGGTAGTCCGATCTTAATTTACGACCAAGCTCGGCATTTCCTCGACTAAGAAATAGTCAAGAAATAATTTAGAAAAAACTAGTATGAAAATTGATTATTTTCTTATGATTTATCGAGTTGTTTATATAGAGCCGTACGTAAAAAAGAAAACGGTGAATGAATAGTCGCCACACAGAACGCGAAAAATTTAGGATACCCTGTCGAGATTTCCTCAGTAAAGTTACAGACTTGTGTATCCATGCAGGTACTTATTCAGTGAATGTACTTTTACGGGTACCTCAAACAGTACATACATCAGTAAAATTACTGAGAATTTTCAAAGTACCCATATTGGGTACCCTGCTAGAGCTTTCTCAGTACATGGGTACCCTGAACTCAGTACTTTCTCTAGGGTATAAAATCTAGTTCAATCACTCTGTCAATTACGATATTTTACGGAGTGATAATTAATATTTTGATATTGATGTCTTAAATGCAGTCGACTATGGAAAACGACTCACAGAATCTAGAAATATTATTCCTTTAACACTATAGCTGTCTATTTAAGATGTAGTAAATGAATAAGTTTTTTGTCTATAGAGAGATCTCGAAAACTAAAAAAAAGAAATAATATATACTGCATTATCAGCTTTATACTTGAAGTCGATTTCATGGATTCTGAAGCATGTACCTCAGCATGCCTTTTTTTAATCATATTCATTAGTCTTTCTTAAAATTTTTCAATGTAATTAAATACATGTCATTGATAATTTGTTGTCTATATTTTGCAAAAAAAAATATTGCGATTTCTACAGAACATGCTTAATATCGAAAACATTCATAATTTTATGCAATTATCATTCATACTGAGATCAAGAAAATCGTCTTATCCTAAAAAAACTTTTGGCAGATATTACAAAGCTTTTTCCTCGACAACAACAAAAATGATTGATATAGAAGAATGAAACAAAGTTTCATGAGTACAACCGTTTTAATATCTGACACGGACGTCATTTGAAAATAATTTCTCTTAAAAAAAAGGGTGTGGGTGTGGAGTGTGGGTGTGGGTCTGGGTCTGAGTGTGTATCTTCCTGACGCAAAAAGAACAACATCCACACCCAACGTCCACACCCACACCCCACACCCCACACCCCACATCCACACCCACACCCTCAACACACACCCCACAACCACACCACCCACACCCACACCCCACACTCACCCACCCACAACCACACCCACACACACCCACACCCACACCCCACACCCCCACACCCGCACGCACACCCACATCCACACCCACACACTCACACCCACACCCACATTCCACCCTGCTCGAGAAATGAATATAACACCCGCAAGACTCTATGTGACAGTAATTGAATCTCCAACAATCTCTTTCAAGTTTCATGATATTTTCCATCTGCTGATCATATGTCAATTGAAACGAAGTAAAGAATTTATTGTTGTTTTAATCATAAATGAAAAATGCATTTTTGCATGATTATAGTGGAAAAACCGATGAATAAAAAAGATAAAACTGTGCTTTCGTGATTAAAGTGAACTAAGTAAACTGCAAGCAAAACATATTTCGAAAAAAAGCGTGTTCAAAATAAATGTAATGAAGTCTGTACATTGAAAACTTATAAATAATCGACCATGATTTTAAGACTAATGTCTTTACTTAATATTTCAGCAAAACGATTCACTAATGTGTTCGTTACATTACAATCCGCAGCAATTTGCGTGAATACTGCACTAAGTTGTATACCATCTTTCGCATCAAACAATTGACCATGGCCAGCACTAGCCATATTTTGTAATAATGCTCTACCTGAACCAACTGCTGATCCAAATGCTACTGTATGGCAAATAAAATTTCTTGGGCGTTGGGTTCGATATTTGCCGCAAATCTCATTTAGCTTGGGCAAAGGTTGTGAATTGCCATCTTCTCCGTCTGACATGAATATCATTACTATGGATGAATTGGTTTGATCTCTATCAAGTACACGACTGGCTTCTTCCAAACCCATTCGATATGTTGTTCCACCACCTCTAAATGGTAGATTACGAACTGTTTGTGCTAATTTACATCGCTCATACACAGTTCTTGCACCTGAATCAAACTGTACTACGCTAAATAGATCATCACCACCTTGATCACTTTGTCTTGTATCCAAAAAATTCGAATACGCTCGTTGTAAATTAGTCCATTGACCAGCCATTGATCCCGACTCATCAAGGACAAAAATAAAATGAAATGAGTTCGATGATTGTTGTTGTTTTGTTTTGTCAAATAATTCGATAACACTCAGAGTTCGTCCTTCAATAGCTTTGTACTGTTGTTTGAATGCTTCCTCCATTTTTTTCGTATATTCCGGCTTGATACAACAAAACATTAAATCCGTTTCTTTATCTTTTTCTAATAATCTTTTAAATATGCTGTTGACAGTTAAACCAGTACCATTTTTATATTGATCATTTTCATCATCGTTTAAATCTCGTCCATGCCCAGGTGCATCTGTAATCAATACAATAAATCGTGCATTCGATCCACTCCAATTCGGTATACTCAGACATTGATCCAATGCACCGAGAACATCTTCCGGACAATCCCCACCACCTTTTGCTTGTAATTTATTCAAGAACTCAATCACTTTATCTTCATCATGTGTAAAATTTAACGTTTCATATTGTGGACGATCTGTAATATCACGATAGCCAACAATCGCAAAATTTAATTTCAATTTTAATGATGGATATTTTTCATTAATTTGCTTTTTTATTTCAGTTATGATTACTTTCATTTGGATTTTCGTTTGAGATAACCATCGTGACATACTACCAGTAATATCCAAACAAAAACAAATATCAACTGCTACATTCGACGGTGGACTACCTGTACTAATTGAATATTGTTCACGATCACCGTTCAATTTTTGAATAAAGTCACCAAATGCTTTCTGTTGAGTGGAATTACTGATGATATCCCCAATTTCTGTTGTGACCGCTTCTTCTGTAAAATCTTCTGATTGTTTCAACCAATCAATGGATTTAAATTGTGGTTCATTTTCACATAGACTTCGTAATGCTTTCGGTACATTATAGGCTCCTGCACATTGAATATATCGTGCATAGGATGATTGTAAATTTGTACGATCAATACCCACGCCTAATGCAATAATATCAATACCAAGATCTTCTGCACGCTGTTGTACCATTGGTAATAGACCAGCGCAATTTCCATACCCATCGGTGAAAATGAAGATTTTTCTTTCACCTCGCGTGGCACAATTTGTTAATAAATCAATAGCAACTTCTAAACCAAAAGCATCTTTAGTATCATTTTCTTGATCAAATTTGATCTGTTGTAATAATGTATAGATAACATAACTATCAAATGTTTCATCATTTGTTTTAATAAGTGTTACTTTCTTTCCAAACAGAACGATACTAAAATTATCCAGACCTAATTTTTTCAATGCACCAACGAATATAATTAATGTTTCAAATAGACATTCACCCATGTTTCCAAACATTGATACAGATATATCAAGTACTAAACAAAGTGCATGATCACGTTTTCCACCAGCTAATTTTGAACTAAATATTTTTTTATAACTCCATTCACTGGTCATCGCTTTTATTAAACCAGGTAAATAGAGTGAAGAACCACGTAGAGCTGCTCGACGGCGTGTAAATTTATTCAATGGGAATACAACATCACTAAAGGCCGACACAAGATCATCAATTGAACTTGTCAATCGGGTTTCTTCTTTATGCCATAATTGTTCTGCTTGTGTTATATGATTTTTGACGTCACTATTTTCTGTACTTAATTGTTGATAATATTTACGTAAATCATCTGATGCTATTGATAAATTTGTATATGGATTACTTCGTGATAAATATTGAGTTAATAAATGTTTAATATTATTGATTTTTGGTATCATTGAATTTGGTTGACTCACAGTATACGATATAAAATTTGTTGTTTTTTCAGATCGTTTATTTTCACCATCACTTTGATCTTGTTTTTGTTTATAGATCAGTTTAGGTACAGATTTCGGATCGATTAGTTGTTCAATATTGACTGTTTGTTTTGTTATTTCTGTTGGTGAATCATTTCTATCTTGTGTACCATTTAAACAATGTTCTAACATTGTATTCATTAATTGTGCCATTTGTAATGGTAAATTTGATATATTATCCGAAGTGATTTTCGAATGTTTCGATTGATTTTTAAGTGCATCTAATAACATTGTACTTGAATTGGAATTTTTATCTTCAATAAACATGAAACCTAATTTAATATCATGTTTATTTATTGTTAATGAATAAGTTTGATTGTCACGTTCTTGTGTAAGACCATCCGTAAGAATAATAACAATTTTGTGTATAGTAACATCTGAAGTAGAGCTTGTTGATGTTTGCGTGGGAAATATTTTTTGTGCAATACGAGCTAAACCAGTTGCTGGATACGTACCTTCATCAAATGTCAATGCTTCTAAAACAAATTCACCGTCACCATACGTAAAATGATCATTTAAATTTTTTAATATTTTCTGATTTGTTCGACCACCAAATCGTGCAACGGCGAATTTTGCTTCTAATTTTCTTAATACTTCCATAATAACAACAAGTGTACCAAATATAAATGTACGATGTAAACTCATGGATCCTGAATTATCAATCATAATACACCATTGTAATTCATGTTGTTCAGTAAATTTTGATGTCAAACGTTCTTGTTCTGAACGAAATTTATCTAAAATCATATCAATCATCTGCATGATCACTTTGGATTCAACTAATTGTGTATATATCCATTTGTTGAAATCTTTTTCGGACATTGAACCTAAATCTAGACGATTTTCTAATTCTTTTGTGTCTAATTGTTTTTTAAATCGTTCTTCGGTAATCATATCAGCTTTCTTATATAAATCCAGATAATTTGCATTTTTAACTTGATCTGTAAATGGTTTTTGTAATAAATCAAATTTAACACCTTGTGCAACTAAATCTTCTGCTCCTGATTGTAAATCATTAAACGCAGTTGAAGAACCTCCTGATGATTGTGTACCTCCTGGTATTTGTTTATTCAGCATATCTTCAACTATTTTGTCCACATTCATGTTTGTAGAACGATTATTAGATGATGGTCCAAATGGATTAGATGAAGATGTATCCGAAGTATCAACTAATTTGACATTGTGTTTTTTGATATCCTTTATCCATTCATCATGTGACATTAATGAGTCCGAATCATCACCCATTGTTGGTGTTGTGGTTGTCGTTGATGAGGATGATGATGTTCCTTGTGAAGATGATTCCGATGGAGATTGATAGATTGATGTATCAGCACTATGACTAAATGGATCTAAATGTGGTACTTTATTTAATGTTAACTTCTTCGATGGTGGTTTTGTATCCATATCCTGTAATCGACTGATATCGATTTGTAATTTTTTCAGAATGGATCTTAATTCTAAACTATATTGTAATGCTAATGATGTTAAACATTTTTCAATTTTTGTTAAATCTTTAAATAGAAATCTAACACCGTGGATAGAAAATTGAGGTTCTAAAAGTCGTCTGATTACGGTTAATCTGATAAATAAATGAATGCCATATTCAACAATCGAATTTGTGTATTTTTTGTTTATTGATATTTGACCAAAATCTGATCGATTATAAAATAATAAATTTGTTGTGATAAATACATCGTACCAAGAATCAACTCGTTTATGTAAAGTAATATATGATTGAACTAAATCTTTCACAGATGATTCTGGTGAGATATTGATAATGGTAAGAGGATCATGGGACGAGTTTAGTTTTGATACAAATTCTTCAACACACTCTGTGAGATGCTCTAAATTATGTTTTGAAAACGGTGATTGGATTGCTTGAACAATCGGTGGTGTCGTCGTCGGTGATTGTTCTGAAATTGGTATAATGGGGATAGGTAACGGCTGTGGCTGCCCTAGATTATCCACAGATACCGACGGCTTTTGTTGTTGCTGTTTTTCTATATTTTTGTGAATACAATTGAGAATACATTCTTGATCCACCGTTTTAATGGATATTATTTCATCATTTGGAATATCAAAATCTCGAATATTATTTCGACAATTTGCCAATGTACATAACGCAGATGATAATGCAATTGTATACAAATGTTCTTTGTACGCTATTTTATTCGATGATATTAAGCCATAGAACGATGTTAGTATTGACGATAGTACTTCGTACAAACGTCTCGATTTAACACATTTTATATTAGATAGTGTCAACCACGATGGGATAAGATTATTGAGTAACTCGAATTGTTCTTCATCAGATGGAGATATTGCACTTGTTAATATTCTATGTGATTGAATTAAATGACAGTAAGCTTCTATTTGTTTTTGTAATGTTGATGATACACAAGATTTGATTTGATTTAATAGATCATCGGTCGATGTACTGGTTGTTAATGTCGATAAAATAGTTTGAATATGAATTTGTTTCTGATCCAATTCAGCACATTCATTACTTGTCAATAAAAACGGGCATAGATTTATCACATGATCCCACACTTTTAATACAGTGGTTTCTTGTTGTAAGGATTGTACAATATCAATAAATTTTTGTATTTGTTCTTTTTTTGATGGTCCTGTTGAATTAGCCGTACTACCAATTATACCGATAAAATCGATTAATTCATGCCAGGTCAACTGTTTTGTTAATGATAGATATTTTTCTAGAATTTTATGCCAAAATTCATTTTTGAGATATTGAAATTGAAATAGACAAGCTTCTCGAAAGATTAATCCAGTCGATGCATGTTCTTCACTCATGAAACAAAGAAGTTTCCAAAAACTTTCCAAACATTGCTTTATTGATGCCCATTGGTCATTTTTCACCGATATCAATTTATGTATTATGTCCAAATAATCACTTACACTATATTTTGTTAGATTGAAGGGTATAACATTACTATAACCTGATCTTACTGTAGGATATAAATTTACAATTTTCGGAACTAACAATTCAACTTGATTTTGTGGTATTTTTTGAAATCTTTGTAATGCTGAACGGGTATTATTAGGATACGGTCCATTGAAAATAGCTTTAATCCATTGATATGATACTGTTGCTGAATTGTTTTGTTGTTTTTCAAAATATTCAATGATAATAATAGTAGCCTCTACTATCTGATCGAATTTTGCTGTATTATTGACACTATTTAAAATATCAGTTAATCTTGAATTATTTTCAAATAATGAATTGATAATAGAACGTTTATTTGATGATTCCAGTTTGGTCCAGTTGGTAAGACTATGTTGAATTGCAATTAGAGATGGATAGTATAGGTTTTGTCCACTGCTGATCTTCATCAGACATTCAACTAATGTTTCACAATTACCCATCATTAATTGTTTTATATCGCGCTGTGTATTAGGAGAAAGAAATGAAAATAATATATTGACTGTTAGTTGTTCAATATCATTAGATAATAAATTCGTTAATTCACAATTTGATTTCTTGATTAATTTCGAAAGAAGTGATTCAATATGAATGACATCCTCTTGTCTATGTCGTATTAAGTATTGTATGTATTGTGAAAATAAGTTTAGTATGGGATGTAGAACAGAATCTTGACTAGTCATTTTATCGATTAATGAAAGTGATTGTTGACACTCATTTATATTGTTAGGTTGTTCATAAAATTCAGAGACAAGTAAAGCATAACTTTGCATTGCGTAAGCTTCATCTACACTTGCTGTAGAATTGATAACAGAAAATAGGTGTGATTTTATGAGTTGACTATCAAAATAATCTGTAAATAAATTCGAAGATTTAAAAAAACATTTTTGTGATTGATTGATCAACAATCTGTAGCATTTGTACAGTGCATACTGAGCATCTTTCATTTTTGTTTCATCAGAAAAATGTTCAAACGATAGACTTGATGCATAGTCTCGAAACTTTGAATCTATTCGTAATTGTGCACAAAGATTTCTACATTGCTCTTCAGTCGTTGGGAGCGATTTCACATTTATCATACAAATGTATGCCGCTGCAGTTATTTGTATCAATGAAAAACAATGTGTTAAATTATGATTCGAATTCGTTGAACACATTTGACGTAGCCAATCAGATGGTAATAATCGCAGATCATTCCAACAACTTCTCTCACTTCCAAATTCCTGTGCTTGATCGTATTTCGAAAAATGGCCAACTATAACTAGTTTGGTTGAACGATTTGAAAGTTTACCATCAATTTCAATCACAGGATCACATTTACCAATAATTGTTATCTCACCTAATTCAACAATCTTTTTTGGATGATCATTACGATTTGGTATGTCTTCACATTCAATCATTAGATTACATGGACAATCTCGACGTGGGTCAAGACGAATTGGATGGTTAACAGAAATTGCTTGGGATGATTGTTGAAGTATTAATGTTTTAATAAAAGATTGTTTGACGAAAGATTCAGTTGCATCAATTTTTAAACTATTACGACCAATATTTCGAAGTGTAATCGTTTGTGTAAACATTTTTCCAGTTTTAATTTCACCAATATCAATAAAACCTTGTGGTGATACTTCTAGAGTAGGTATTTTAAATTCAAGATCATAAGGAATTTTTGTTAATGTATCACCCGATTGAAATTGTATCATCGGATGAAAATCACGAAAATCAGTTGGATAGTATTGACTTTTGATAGTTTTTACTGTTGATGGATTGATCAATAATTTATCTGGTATTACAATAAATTTCGATGATAATATTTTGGTTGAGTCTTTTGAGGAGAGAATTTGTATGTATTTAATATTTGCTGCTGACTTGCCTAAATTTTGAACTACTATATCACATTCAATCGGTTTTATACTTCTTGGTATTTGCATCCATAATTTTTCCATATCAGCTGCTTGTCCGATACGTAGTTCTTGTTTGATTTCCGGTGGATAACGTACATATGGTGTTTGTGATTCACATATTAGTGTAAGTGTCAAACGAGGACGAGTAATATTAGTGAAGTTAATCTCAATGGAAGAACTTTGGCCTGAATAAGTATCACGCATGACAATCATCACTTGTAACGTTTGTTGAATTCCAGGAGTTAGTACAAGCATTTTTGTACTTAAGGTTAATTCGCTGGAGAAAGTTAACGTATATTCAACTTCACCAGCATTCAAATATTCAAGAGATATTGAACGTTCTTCTGATCTGTATAAATCCGTGATGGATAATTGTCCGGATTGATTATCGATAACCTTTTGTCCTTGATACATGACTGTGAGTTTAGTTGGTCGAACAAATCCGATTACTTTTAAAAATAGCTGTTTAGCTGAATTAATAGCAAGGCATATTTCACGGTCGATAATTTCTTCTACGGTGTTTGGTTTTAATGATACATGAAAATGTGTTGTCGTAGATGGATTCAAATTTAATCGATCCGATTGGATTGATAATATCGATTTCATTGGTATCGCTTGTGTTTCTTGCTGTTGTATTTGTGCTATGGCATTCAGTGGACATGGTAATAAATTCTTAATGTCAATATATTTCTCTATTATTGTTCCATTACAAGGACAATAACCAAAATCAATTATATCTGTTGATAATTGAACATCTACAAGGGCAACTTTTCCATAAACATGTAATTCTGTTAATTTTGTCTGATTTTCTGATAGATTAATCAGAAAATTACAATGATTTTCATCGACTGTGTTCGGTGGAGTATATAAGATATCAATTTCAGTGATATACTCTGCTTGTATTGATATCTTACCAGTTGGTGCGTAAAACTGAGTATTCGATTCTGTCGATGTTATCTCGATATCAATATCATTTTCTAATCGATTATGAATGATCAATTTTTGTATCATACGTCTATGAATGTCGACAAGCACTATACCAAAATCGATTGATGTTTTTAATGGTGCACATTGTATTGTTGTTTCATCTTTTGATCGAAACAACCAAATATGTGCATCACGACCCAATTGTGAATATTGAAATGTATCATTTAATTTTACTGGATCTAGACTAATTTTCATTTTAAGCATATTCAATATTTCTGTACGACTGTTGTTGATACGTCTTGTATTATAATAAATTGCCTTTGCATCATTTCGAAGAAGATTATTGGCTTTAACCAATTCAGGATTATCTCCTGAAATTTTACATATTTGATCATATCGCTGATTTAATGTATTAAAATTTTGATCATTTGATGAACTGCTATTGTTGCTGTTCATTGTTAATACATGTGCCCACGCATAAGCAACAATTAAATGTACATTTAATGAACATAATGCAGAAGTACATAGTAACAATTGTTTAACACTTTGTTCAATACATTGTCGACTATTAATAAAAGCGTTTTGCATTTTCTCCGTCCATACAAATTGAATATCACTATGACTATCGATTAAATCATCCAAGATTACTCTCATTGGATTCATTCGTGAAAATTCTTGTTTCACGTCATCAAAATTTCTCAGTCGTTTTATTTTATCTGCATCTGGTAATCGATTGTGAAAATTAATTATATCCTCCACATTTATCAAATTGCTAACGCATGCTATATCATTACTATTGAGACTTTTAACCATTTCATCAATTTTTTTATTTAAACTAGCAAGGACTTTTGTACCACGTAAGTCAACGATTTGTTTTTCTTCCATATTGTATTTGCTTTGAGCAGACAGACCTAATTCCAATTCCTTTATTTTCTGTTCTAACTGAATTGATGTGATTGCATCAGAAGTAAATGATTGATCGGACGTACCATCAACTGTATAAAAATGTTGATGCGAATGTTGACAACTGATTTTTAAATGCGATTTAGCTTGAACGATTGTTTTTCTAGTGCAATCGGACCATTTCATTAATCCTGTGTATATATCTTCTCCGATTTGAATTTGTACGTATCTTATTGATGTTGTTTTTACAGCGAAAAGCTGATGAAGTCTATCACTGCTTACGTCCAACGGTATATGAATATAATTTGATGGATTTTCATATTTGTCCATAAAACTAATCATTACACGTGATCGATAAGTTTCAATTTCTATTTCAAAACATTCACAGGAAGGTGAGAACTTGTTAAGATCTAATGGTTCATATCCTAACGAATCTTTGTATTTCTTATGCAGGTTTATCAAATCAACCAAATGTTTTTGTGGTGGAATAGTGTGGATCAATGGATGACCTTGTTGATGTTTTTGCATATAAAAACGAATATTCTCATTGAGTATATCATTGAATGTCATATTAAAGATTTTTATGTGATCGCTCGATTGTAGCTGCGGTGGTTCATTAGATGTTAAGAAGTTCCAAGCTGATTTAAAAAATGTACCAATTGGTTTTGCTAACACAGCAAGACTACTAACTGTTTTTGCCCGACGATTTTGAATAAATAGATTGCATGCATAATGCCAATCTGACTGGAAGCGTTTTACGTTGTCTGATAACAAGTGTAATTGACCAATGATGTTTTGTAGTTTAATTGATGAATTTTGTATATCTTGATTTGCAGCAGTTAATAAATTACTGTATATACTATGTTCCGATTGACGAATACGGTCAAGAAGATCATATGCAACTGTCGTGGCAGTATTCACTGTACTGTTTGAATTTATATATGATTTCAGTTCTTCAAATAAAACTTTTTCACCTTTTTCATAAACAGCTACTATTGTTTGATATAGTTTTGATATAAGTATGAAATTCATGTATTCAATTGATGTATTCGTCAATATTACTTCCATATTATCCAATCCACCAATTGTAAGTAAATAAATAATTTCATGGATATTTAATTTTTCTTCAATCTGATTTTTGTCAGGTTTATTATTTAAAAGAATATTTTTGCTTTCGATGACTTGTTGTATATCAGATAGAATCACATCTTTTGAATTTAATGATGTATAATCTTTTAATTTTTTCAAATTAAATTCCATTTTATTATGTAAATAATATTTTTTTGATTTAATAATTCCCCGAAGAAATTCTTTCAATGTCAGTTGCCATCTATTGGAAAGATTCTCACAGAATTGTTTTAATCCTGGGCGATTATCAATTAATATCGTACATAAATTTTCAACTTTTTCGGACATCGATTCTATGAGTGATTTTGTTCGACTTTGAGGATCAATATAACTAATTGATGTTAATGATAATTGTTGCATACATTGATCTAAAAACGTTGTTTCATCGATAATTTCCAATTCAATTATACGTTGAAAATCTTCATATAAGGAAAATAATATTTTATATTCATCTAAACATATCGATTTTGACAAACTATCAACAAGTGTATCAATTGTATGCCACATTTGTGTCATCATATATCCAGGTGATAATACTAATTTTTTCAAGATTTTTATCGATTGACTAACATCATCTACGAGACCAAATGGATTTGTACTGTATGAAAATGCGATATGTACAGTTTGTAGTATTAGAGATTGTGTACTTGTTTGTAATTGTAATTCAAATCGTTCAAGTAATTTAAGTAATCCAACTTCTGTTCCTGGTAAACGATAATCAAGATTATTCTTGATAAGTTTAATTAATTCATCCATTGGTTCCAATGTTCCTCGTTGTATTTGTATATACCGACATCCAGTCATGAGTAAAGCAAGTATGAAACGTTTATATTCATATAATGATCGTATGGATTTTTGCTGTTTACCAGTTAGAAATGTTTCGATATTGGTAATTCGAATCATCACACGTTGATATATATCTTGAGCTAATTGTTTGATATCATCAATACTATGATTACTCGATTGAATGCTTGTAATAAACGTTTGACATTGTTTATCTGTCCAATGAGCTAAATCACACAATGTATCTTTCTTGTTTGCTGCTGCATATTGTTTCATTAAATCGGTTATTAACATTTTTGAATATGTTTGCCAACTTTTAAGAGAATTTGTCAAGGAACTGATTGATATTTGTATTAAATCACAGTAATATACTAAATAGGCTTTCATCGGATCATTGTCGGTCAGCTGTGTACTATGACTCAATATCTCATCGAGAATTTCTTTTATTTTTTGTATAGTGTCATCAAGCTGTTGGATATCTTCGTTTTGTATTAAGGGAGTGTTGGAATTGAATGTTTGTGACAATAATTTTTTACCAATATCAAATGAAATATTTAATAATTTTGTTGAATATTGACTTTGTGATCTATATGTACTTGTTTCAATACTCTCATCTATTGAATTGTTTCCCATCATGGCCATTTGTGATGTCAGTTGTACACATGTTTTTATATGTTTATTTATTTGTCGAAAATACGTCAGTAAATGATGCATCCATTTATCTTGTTCGATTTGTTGTTGTTTTGCACAGTTTTCCATTGTTGTTGTTAATTCTTTTTTATTTGTATTCAATTCCGATTGCTGTTTACTCAATTCATTAGTCAGTCGTTCTTCTTCACTACTACATTTTCCGAATTCTACTTCCGCCAATCTTTTATGTTCGATTTTCGCAGTATTGAAATAGAAATTTGCTTCTCGAACTTTTGTTCTGGCTTTTTCTAATTGATCTTCTAGTTCTGAACATCTTGCATCCAATCCACTTTGTTTATTTTGTAATTCAACTACATCGTGTTCCCCAAGTTTTTGTCCACTTAATTTTAATAAATTCTTTTGAAATTCTTCTAAACATGCTGCTGACCAATCTGTTAATATCAATAGTGATAATGATAACGTAATATGTAATGGAAATAGATCAGATACACCTGTTGAAATTGTTATTAACATACTTGATCGGATTCGTGAATCAGTACATAGATCCAAAATTCTTTGTACAAAAGCGATAGCTGCTGGGCCGATTAATTTAATATGTTTTTGTTTATCAAATAACGGAATGTTACTATCTTCATAAATAAATTGATGTAAACCAATATGAACAGTAGATGCAAATTCATTAGTATTGGTCAATTGTATTGGATCAATAGATTTATTTGTTGTCAATGATAAATCGAATTCGTTATATTTTCTACAGACATGTTCGATAATATTTGTGCATTCTGGTACAAATAAACATAGAAGATCTTCTGGACGAGGAATAATTGGTAGTAATAAGCAAATGGAGTTTTTGGTAAAATTTTTAAGTTGATTTTGTGTTATACTTAAATTTTTACTGAACATTTCTATGCATTCATAGATATTTAGCATATTGATTTTCACTGTTTTTTTCCATTCTAATATCTTATCTGTTATCTGAGCAATGCTATTATAATTTGAAATGAGAGAAAAATCTGTTTTTAATTGTTCATAGCGAAATTTTGAATAGGCAGTTAGAATATTACCCTTAACGATATCATCTATGTTTATCGGTGCATCGGTTGTTTTATTGACATTCGTTGATCGAGATGTTGCTAATATACGTTCTAGTTGAAATGCTAAATCATCATTTAAGACAGATAATGTTGCTTTTAATTCATCAACCTTTTCCGGTTTTTGTAATAAACTAACTGCATTCGCCCATGTCCGACTGGAAATTTGTGAATCTGTGATATTGATCAATTGAGTTAGAGTAATCTCATCTTGAATAGCTTTGATACCATTGTTAATATTATTTTGAACATTTTTAAAATCATTTTCATGATTGGCTGCATTCAAATTTTTATTGATCAATTCAGTATCTTTGTCATTAATCGCATCTATTGGTTGATCCAACGGTAAATCAATACGACTTAATTCAATATGATTCAATTCCATTTTAAATTTGTCCAATAAATCTTGTAATTGTTTGGGTTCTTGTAATAGTAAACTTAAGTTATATTCATTTGCTTTTCTTTCTGGAACGAATTGTTCCATTTTCAATAATGTCGTACGTATTCGTTGTATAATATGATGTGGACGAATAGGTAACTGACTGGCTTTTTTCATGATTTCTTTAACATCACGAATCGCTGCGGCAATTTTTTGTTTCTGTTGTTGTTTTCGATATTCGTCAGGATCATCTGTAGGAAAGCTACCTTCATTCGGGTCTTTATCACTACCATCACCATGCATTTTCGATTTTTTATTTTGTCTGTCCTCACTAAATAATGGTGCGATACTTATCAAATAGTTGTTTAAGAAAAGAAATTTCGACCAAAATTCTTGTGGAAAATTTAGATTTTGTAAACATTCATCGAATTCTGTTTGCATATTCTTAAAAAATTGACTATTATATTTAGCATGTACGACAACATAATCATCAATAAGGTCAACATTTCTTAATATTTGTTTAAAAATAGTTTCAAATAATGTAATTGTTGTAAGTGTTGTTGTATATAGCTGTTCTAAGAAATAAGTGGAACCAAAAATGACATGTTGTGTCGTTAATTTTAATATTTTTTTACTATTATCAATAAATTCAAATAATAATTGAAATTCAACTTCCTTTTCATTATCGACTGCTTGACCAAGTCCATATCGAATATGATCTTCAATCTTTCTTGAACAACCATAATTTTGTGCTAGATTTTTTAGATAAGCTAACGACGCTATTCGACTACTAACATTTGGTAAATCCAAAGTTTTTATGAAATACTCTAAATCTTGACGGATGATTTCGACATTCGGTTGATTGAATACATTTTGGTATGGTTTCAATAGATCACGTAAACATTTAATTGCACTCCATTCGGTTATATCAAGCGCGTAGATTTTTTGTACATCATTTTTTTTTAATTGTTCGATATGCTGATAAATAAATTTACCCATTGGTTTTCGTTCCATTGTATTATGTTGTGCAAATTCTTTGATTTGTGAATATAAACTTATTAATTCTTTATATGTATCACTTGCATTGATTTCCGATTGTCCGTATTTCATTTGTAAGGAATTAAAACATCCAAAACTAAATTGATCTTGTTGATTTTCAATAATATTTGTACTACAATATAATTGTTGTTGTTGAATTTGAATTTTCATGGTTGATTCGACAAGAATTTCTCGAAATATTCGATCTAAATCTTGTATATCAAGATTGTATTGTAGACTGAATATGGTGATATCAACTACATTTCGATGTTTAGTAATTGGTATCATACAACAATTTAGAGGATTGGAATCAGGACAAAAAAATAATAGTAATTCTTCATTATCACTGGAATTGAAGAGATCGACATGCTTCAATTCATTTAAATTAGAAAAAACAAATAATTTTATTGATAATGATGTGAATAGCGGCATAAAGAAGAACCCAACGATAAATAGAATGATTGGATTATCTAACAATTCATCATTTTCAATTAATGTTTTACCAAATTGCGACGTTAAAGCTGCTCGAAGATCTAGCGTACCATCGGGTCTCACTATTGAGTTCAGTTGTTTTAAATCAAATAACTGACGAATGATTTCATTGACACCCGATGTTGATTGTTGATATTGTTTGATGAAATATTTTGTACTTTCTAATCCTATTAATTCCTGTAATTCTTTTTGTAGATTAGTAATGACTTTACTAGTTTTTTCCAATTCCATATTCTGTCTAGTTTCAATCGTTGCAAATTTTTCTCCCAACCTGTATTTTTCATCCCTTAGTGTTTTGTAAGCAGCGTCTAATTCAATTAATCGAACTTGCTGTTCTGCAATACCAGAATCTGGATCCCAATGAGATCCCATTCGTTTTAATTGTGGTTTTGGTCGCTTAGGCTTCATGGTTGTTGGTAGAGATTCAGATGGTGTCTCTGTTTCATTCGATGCTTGAGCTGATCGTTCTTTTTCTTGTCTTTCTCGAATTTGTTCTTTAATTTCAGTCATTTCTTGGTAACATTTTTCATATTCTTCTTTTTTTGATAATAAATCATTTTTAGTGATTGTATAATTTCTTTCAATATCTAAATATACCGCTTCTGATGGAAGATTTTCAATAATAATTTGTATAATATTACACAGACGATTCGATAATTCCCAACAACAAAATTTTGTTTCACATTCATGAATAAAATCTAATGACAAACAAACATTTTTTGTCAATGCATCTTTCAATGATGATGTTAAATATGTTTCAAATGTCCATTGTAAACCAAGCCATTCCAATAAAATATAATAATGTTTAATAGGTTGTGTATCCGATTGTGTTGTAACTAAATGTGTAAATAATTTACGAAAATCTTTTCTTGTTGTTCGTATAGGATTTTTTTCGGCATGATCTACTGCCCATAATACACTTGTTTGAGTTAATAAATGCAGACGGAAGTTTTGTTTTGTGTTCAGAAATGCTTCATCATCGAATATATTGTATGATAACAATTTTGTTTTAAATGTTAATATTGATCGTAATTGATATATGATATGTTTACATAAGGATATGATCGATTGTTCATATTGAGAAAATAATTTCGAGGAATAGAATTTTGTAAATATTTCGACAATAGTTAGAAGTCGTTGTAAAAATAATTTACGTGCATTTGTGTCACTAAAACATGTATTTTGAAAAAATGTATCCAACAAGCGACGTAAACGATCATAAACCGTTTCAGTTGATTTGATTTTTTCTGAAAGTGATAGTACACTATGTACCGTTGTTGATGTATCTTGAATGATTGATGTGACTGATTTTTGTTGATCAATATCGTTTAAAATTGTTTGTACGCATTCATAAGTATCGTTTCCATCGGTATCTTGCATTAATTTTTGTTTCATTCCCGTTAATTCGGAATTTTTTGTTGGACACATACGTGATAGAATATCATCCAAAAATAAATAAATTAAATCTTTTGTTGATTTCAATTTTTGTTTATCATTGGATATTAATTTTAATATTGTAAAACCGATTTGTGTTAAAAATTCTTCGATTTGCATAAATTCTGTACGAATTTTTTCTGAATCTTGTATCCATAATGGTTGATTTGTTAAGACCTTTTGTGGTGTTGAATAAAGTGATAAGGAAATTAAATTTAATTCTTTCATTGTTGATTGTAAATCATTGATAAATAATTGATAATGTTCGCGATCTTTTAATGATGAACAGTACGAACGTATTATAGACCAATAACATGCATCGACAGCACTTACTGGATTCATCACATCTTCAATGCGATAGAGTAAAGTATTTACACATTGTTCAATAGTTCTATATGTGATATCAAAATCACTTGGATATTGTATTTTACCGTTCAGTAAATTCTGTTTCACTTTTACATGTGTCATCAGTATTAATTGCGCTAATTGTTTACCAGCAGGTATATTTGATAAATTTGAACATACTAATTCATACAAATCACTTGTCTTAACATTTGTTATTTGTAAATCCAAATCCATGGATGGTAACCATAATCGTATAACTCGATTTAAAAATGCTGATGATAATTTATTGGTATATATACGATTGAGATTAGCTGTTGTAAATAGACGAAAATTTTGATGTATTCCACCATTTTGTTGCGTCAATATTTGTCCATCGGAATTTTCATACAAATTCAATATTGGATTATCTTCAGTCAAGGAATTCAAACGTTCTAATACTTCTGATGGTGCACTATTGACATTATCTAACAATACCCACCAACCTTCTCGAATCGCTTCAACAAATTCTGATTCAACAAAAACAAAACCCATTTCATGTTTAGTTTTAGTTACTTGTAACATTTGTAATTTCTTTATATAAAAATCAGTTTGTGTTAAATAATGGGATGTAAGATTTTTACTACGAATGGACATTTGTGGAATTTTCATAATATTTTCCAGCATGGTTTTTGTTTCTTGAAGTGCTTGAATTTCATACGTGATAGTATCATATTGTTCATCGTTTATTATTGTTCCTGTTCTATATTGAAGTATTTCCTTGAATTTTGTAAATATGACTTGATTACTTGCGTCTGACCATAATGGCATACAAGTTAAAAATAACATTTTAATAATATCTTTAAATAGATTATCAATTTTTGTTTGTAATGTATTATTTTGATTTGATGAATACATACTGGGTAACCATGATCCAATCAGATCTGATGTTTCATAATTTTCATTCAATGGTATAACAATAAGACGATTACGTGTTATATTTGCTAATTCCATGACTAAAGAAGATTTTCTTGAGCATATATCACCTTCTAATAAAATCGATCGTTTCGATTGACAAGCAGCTGCTAGTAATTCCAGCTGTTGAATAGTTAGTTTTGTATGTACTAAATGAGTAGATGAAGAACTTGGCTCTTCAGTACCTGTTCTGATGTATATTGAACCGATACGAACAACATTGGCAACTGATGCATCGATGGATTGGTCTTGTTCACGTGCACTTAAAGCTTCGTTAATTTCGAATTTTTTTTGTATTAATGAACGAGTACGTTCATAATCTTCATGACCATGAAATTGACATGCATAGACTACTTCAGCAAATTTTCGAATAGATAACATTCTTGCATCAGAGGTTTGCATTTTTTCTTCTAATGTACTTGTCGTCGGTGCTGTTGTTATATTCGTTTCTTGTAATTGTTCACTGCTTTCATCTGTATTAAAAAATCGATAATGAAATATTTGATCTTTGATACATCCACGAAATATATCACGAAATTTGGATAAATCTCGAAGATTCATTTCATATGGACCACCTGTACGTCCCAAGAGTCCTTGATTAACTTCTTGTTTCAATGATGTATGAAGTTCAAATAGAGTTTTAAGATGATCTCGTGTAATAGTTTTTTCTTGTTCCACATCGTAATCAAATAGAGATTGCAATATAGCACCTAATTCATCATTATCATAATCGTCTAGTTGTACAGTGGTAAATAAATTACTAATTGATCGTGGTAATTTACTACGTCCACCACCGATTGTTGTTGGATTCATTGTTGCAAAAATCAAGATATTCGTAGTATCGATCGTTTCACCGGTGCTAGGTACTGTATAGGTATGAGTATCACGATAGAGTAGTGGTGTTAAACCTTCTAATACTTCTGGTGCAGCTAAATTCAATTCATCTAAAAGAATCCATTTGCGTTTTTTCAATGCACTTAATATTTTTCCATCTTGCCATTCGAATATTCGTCGTCCATTCTCGTTACATCTTGGAATAATACATCCAATGAGTTGATCTAATGATGTATTTGCGGACAAATTAATACGTTCGCATTGTTTATTCAGTAACTGACATACTTGTGTCACAACCTGTGTTTTACCTATCCCGGGTGGTCCTTCAAGTAACAATGGAGTTTTTGATGATGTTGCTGCAAATATTCGAGCCATTTGATTTAATAATGTTGGTGTAGGTACACAGAAAAATTGTTTACGTACATGTTCCTCTGTACAACTCTCATCTTTTGACATTTGATAACGCACACCAGTATACTTCAAACTAATATAATCAGATCCAACATCAAATGGCAATGGAAACGCATCATCTTTTTCTGGTTTATTAAAAATTTTAGAATATTGTTGTGGATTCGTTATTGAGATGGATGATGGTGGTTTTTGATACCATTTTTCATATATGAGATTTTGTTCAATGACAGGTAACTGATCAAAATAGTAAAATTTGGCACCTAAAATGAGGCGTTTTTCTAATGGCATTGAATAATGTTGATTACATATGAAGTCAATCCAACGAAATAATAATCGTATATCGTTATCAATTTTCCATTCTTTTTCGTTTCTTAATGTTTCACGTATTGAAAACATGGTTTTAACTAATGAATCAATAGTTTGATGACTTATTGATGATAATTTTCGTTTTAATTCAGATTCAACTATCAATTTTAAATCTTCTAGAGTATATTTTGGTATTTTTATTTCGGTAAATCGTGAACGTGTAGCCGGACTCAATTTTAATAATTGATATTCATGATCTTGATGTACACTTGCAAAGACTTGAAAATTTGATGACAATTGTACATCTAGTTGCCCTCTATTTCCGTCTCCAGTAGAATTACTTGTTGTAATATCTTCTGTGAGGGCAAATGTTGGTGTTGGTTCTAACATGGAATTCAATCTTTCAATTACAGCTTGACTTGGCAAATCGAGATCTTCTAAAAATAAAATTGAACCTTGTTTTGTCGCGACAGTGACTGGACCATCTTGAAATAAGAATATTGGTTTTGTTCGATCAAATCCTGGATCTTTTAATTTATTCCATATGGATTCAAATTTATTGAAATAATCTTGATAGGTTGTATCGGATGAAAATATAGAAAAATTTTTTAAACGAAACAAACGTTGAATTGTATCAAGTAATTCAGCCATGCAATCGTGAAGACTTTCAGGAAATTCAGTATTATCAATAAGATTTTGTTCTGGAGTAGTTGTGAAGGTTGAAATATCATCAACAAACATGGATCCGGGATTATAGGTGAAACCATCATCAATCTGATCATCGGATGTTGTATCAGGAGCAGGAAGAATTGTGCTATCAGTTGTAGGGTTTAGATAGCTGACAACATCAAATCCATCATCGAGTTCTGTTATGATATTATCTTCTGTTACAGTATCTACTGTAGTCTTCTGTTGTACCATGTCATCGCCAAACCCATCATCAAGAAGAGTAAATTGCTGTTCGGTCATCGTTGTCATTGATGATTCAAAAGAAAATCCATCATCAAGATCTTCAGTTACGTACGATTGTGTATCATTATAGATATGAGTGTAATCAGTTGATAGATAACTATCGTCATATCCTATATCTATATCTTCATTATAATAATTATTCAATGTTGATGTATTTGTGTTCGAATTAATATTTGTTGATTCAGTGTCTTGTTGCAGTTCATAATTGTTTAATTCTGGTATATTTGGAAACATAATAGATTGTAGATCTGCTAAATTATTAGTAAATTCTTCATTTTGTTGTCGTCGTTTTTCATTTTTAGTATACAATAATTCAAACTCTTCAATTGCCTTTGGCAATTTTTCTTTAATCAATTCTTGTATTGATTTCAAAGCCATAGCATTATCTTCCGATAGATCCCCATTATCATGCGTTCGACAGAGAGTTACAATTCTTACACGAATATGTTCAGCCATCAATGGTAATCGTTTAACTAAATCCATAAATGAATATGGATGAATTTCACCGATAAGTTCACCGGCTTCGGTATCCGGTGTTAAATGTACTTTGATCAAATCATGTTGTCGATTACTAATTCTTGCCCATGTTTCTACTAATAATGTTTTACATGATGTTGGACCTACCAATAGAATGGGTTCTTTTGCTTGTACAGCAAATGCAATTCGAATCAATGAACGTTGAAAGGATTCGGGAGGTGTAAGATGCATTTCTGAATTCCAAAGAAAACTTAAATCTAAATTGATTCGTTTCACATCCATCATCAGCTCGCCTTCTTTGAAACTGACGATATTTTTATTTTCTTCATAACAACTATCCTGTAGATTTCGATGTAATTGTTTGATTTCTATTGGATAATTATCTTTAGCTGATAAAGCACCATGTTGAGGCCAGATCAATTGAAAATCTTTAATTAATTTCGTTCGTGTTTCGGATTCGGCTGCAAATTTCGAGCATAATAAAGATGAACCAACAATAGACCATAAGTCTTTATTCGATGAGAAGAGTGCATGTCTATGAAGCCATTTGATTAGTTCACGAAATGTAATACGATATGGTTCATTGATAACACGATGATAGAACTTAGCTAAATCGGTTGTTGTTGATTGTTTTAAACACTTCGGTTTTTGTTTATCAGGTTCCGTACGTTGCCAAATAATATTAGGAAGTTCATCAACTGGAAAATCTTGAAACTGTACTTCGAGAAAACGATTTCGTAAAGATATGGGTAGTTGATGTCGATTGGCATATGATGCATCATTTTGTGTTGCAAAAAAGTGAAAACCAGGTTTGGCTGTAATGATTTTTCCACTACTTGGTACTGTTATTGAATTTTTACCTTCTAATAATGGAAATAACATATTCATAACACTCGGATCGGCTAAGTTAAATTCATCAGCCAAAAACCACCAACCATTGGTCATAGCACGATACAATGCACCTGGTTGAAATATAAATCCATCATTAACAGGTAAAAATGTTCCAAGATAGTCTTGTATAGTTGTAGTATCTGTATTATTCACACGTTCTAATTTAAAATTTTCACTTTGTCCTTTTAAATGTTTACAAAGATAAGAGATCAATGCAGTTTTACCTACTGCAGCTGGTCCTTCTAATAGTAATGGAATACCACAAGCAATCGAGCCAAGTACAGCATTTGCGTATTCTGTTCTTGAATTTGTTAGGATATATTCATTATTTTTCTCAATCCAAATATCTGTAAAATGTGGTTGATCTAAATTCATGTTTGTGTCTTTCGATAATAATTGTTGAATTGTGGTTGATAATTTTTTTTCAATTGTTTTATCTTTTATTTGATTGGCAATTGTTACATGATAGGCAGTCCATAAACCTGATCGAAAATTCAGTTCAGTCTTTTGTTGTAATAAAAATGTACTATCCAATAATCGGACGATATTTCTCATTGTCAGCTTTGGAAAATGTTCTTTATTGTTCGCATAAACCAAAAGAATTGCTTGCCAAATTTTTAGAAAAAGTTGATGATCAACGTCACTACCATCTGATAGGATTGCTTTTGATAATTGTAAAATTTCTTGTTCATAACCTTTTTCTAATGAAAGATTTTCCATATGTATAACACCAAAACGATTGTAAAGTGCTGGTGATAGTTCACTTGATCCACCACTTAAATTGGCTGATTGCTGTGGATTCGGTGGTGTCATCGTTGCTAATAATTGATATTCATCATGCAATACTTCTTCATTAACTTCACCTTTTTCTGTCAATATTAACATTGGTTCTTGTTCGAGAACAGGATTCAGTCGTTCTAAAACTGATGATTCCGCAGTGGCTAAATTATCTAATAAAACCCAATCACCACTTGTATAAGCTTCTGCGACACAACCATTTTGCCAAATCAATTTCTCTCCATATTTTGGATCGTCAGGATCGGTAATTTCATTGGGTATCAATTGGCCAATCAATGCGGATGGTTCTGTTTCCGGTGTAATATTTAATTGATGAACATGTTTGGAATGAAACCAAGAGAGAGTTAAAAGTAAATCTGATTTTCCACATGCTTCATCGCCAGTAACAAGTATTGGTTGTTTGATATACATATTGAAACAAACTTGCTTTAATGTACTCAATACACGATCAGAAAGAACATAGGGTAATTCAGCTCGACATAAACGTTGTTTTGGTTCTGAACTGAATGATGATGTTTGAAATATATCACTGAAACATTTTTCGACCATTTGTTGTGCTTTTTTATGACGAAAACGACATTGATACATTGTACAACCAAGTTCTGCTAATTTTGTACGTTCTGTTAATTTTTTCAGTTTAGCTGCTGCTATTAACCATTCCCATATCCATACTCGTTGTATACGATAAATACCATGTTGTTCAATAAATTCAGTAGTCAGTAATTGTTTATGGATAGCAATATGAACTGCTAATGCTCGTTTCCATACATTGGGATCATATTCGATATCATCTAGACTAGCTAATTTAAATGTGCGATTCCATTCATTGGGAATGTTCATTGATTCTTCATTGATGGTTATTGTGCAACGTATACTATCAAAACAGATTTGATTTTCTTTTTGATCGATTCTTATTTTTACTCTATCAAGAGCTGGTTCTGGCCAATCGCATTTGTTCCGATCACTTAAAATCTTTTTAATTGTCTGTCGACCGGCTTTTCGATATCGGGCACCATAAACACACCACGCACTAAAACTTAGAACAGGCAGTTGTTGTAGATTTTCATCCGGCCATTGATTATGTTGTTTTTGCCATATAACTAATCGAATCCATTTCAATAATTCACGAATAGTTATTTCAGCATAAGGACCAATTTCTTCGAATTTTGGATCAGTTCGTTTTAGTTCTTCTTTAACACATTCATTGAATCGTGATACCATCAGTTGGGATAGTCCTTCGGCTTGATAGGGAAAATAGGAAAGTAATTTATTCTTAACAATTTCAATCCATTCTTGTTTTGGTAATTCTTTAAATATCAATGGACGAAATCGACTTAAGAATGATGATGATAATTTTTCACGCTTGCCTTTAAAAAATCCTGAATTAGGATTTTGTGTTGCAAATAAACGAAAATTTTTATGCATTCGATGTGTGATAATAGGTTCCGTTGATGAACTTGTATTTCTGATTGTTAATTGTTTTGTATCAAGTGCTGATTCGATTGCTTGTAGAACAGTATCTTGAGCTAAATTTAATTCATCCAATAACATCCAATAACCTTGAGAAAAAGCAATAGTAAATGGACCATCAATAAATTTAAATATGGTTTTATGAATAGTTGCATCGTACACTAATGTTACTTTCCCAAGAAGATCGTCGATGGTTACACGTGATGACATATTGAAGCGTACCAATTGTCGTTGAACTTGATAGGCAGCTTCAATAATACTAGCACTTTTTCCCACGCCAGTACTTCCCTCCAATAGAATTGGGATTGGATCATGCAAAGCTTCCAATACTTTTTTGACGTTTTCTTCAGCTGTCGGTGTTGGAACAAGTCGATTTGGATTCACCCCTGTTGTTGAGGATTGATTTGAAGAATTTATCATTGAAGGTAGATATGTTCGTAAAAGTTTATCTGCTCCATTGACATCCGCATTTTTCATTTTGGTTAAAAATTCATCGGCTTTAATAAAATCATCATTTTTCACTTGTATCAATTCAGTTTTATTTTCAATTTCACTGGAAAAAAATGTTTGTTGTTGCTGCTGTTGTGATTTATTACTTGTTTGTGGTATTATCAATTGATTTGACATATCATCCGATGTACGTTGTGTATTGAGAGCTAGTACTTCTCGTTCACCTTGTGTTAAATCAAGTATTTCGGATAACAGACGAATACCTACTACTTTCAAATCACCTGAACGTCCGATGATGCCCATAATATCCGGTGTAAATGATGTTAATAATTTCACAAGTGTTTGATGTTGTTCTGGTGATTTAGTGATTTGTTTTGAGATACTAGTTAGATGCGATATACAACTTCGCAGTGACGACAATGCCGAAGGTGACCATTCCATGTCATTATCCACTGATGCATGCTCATCTAACTTTTTGAATAGTTCAACAGCTAAGGGTCTGCTATCGAACGTTGCATCCGTTGTCGTCGAAGTATCAGGTGATATGCTAGATAAAAATATAAGAATTTGTGCAAATGGACTATTCGATCCAAAATCACATGTGAATAATTTTGTGATGAAATCATTATTCAGAAAAAAACTGGCGATATTTTGATTGTATTCAGAATATTTCGAATAGCCAATTTCTAATAACATTTGTATTAATCGTTGGATGACATTGGTATTCGTTGGATTGTCGATGGTTTCTAATGATAATACCCAATTCTGTATAATCAAGTAGAAATCGGATAGAATAAGATATTTTTGTACTTGTGTATCTTTCAATATTGATTCATTCAAAATTAATATCGCCTGAATATGATCGAAAATAATATTATCATTCATTTTCATACATAACAATAATTGTTGAACATTATCATTTGTTAAATGACGTAAATATGTATTGAGTGTAGTTGTTGGACATATGGATTGTTTTATTAATTGTAACCAATATTCTTGAGTTCGATCATCTCCTTCTCGATGTTGTACACACCGTTCTATCATATATTGAATTAAATTGTGTTCTGTAAACATACTAACGTACTGTAAAATTGTTGTTAATGCCAATTTGTGTAATGGCATGGTTGATGGTTCGGAATCAATCCAATCGGCGTACCATAAGACTGTTTGTAATTGCATTTTCTTCAAACTTGATATGATATTGGATTTATAATAGGATGGTATGATATCTTTCAATAATAGATAAAAATTGATATGACCTTTAGGATTGTGTGATGGTGTATTCATACATATTTTATCAAATAACTGCTCCAATAATGCTAGATCTTCACTGGATCGTGTATTGTTTGCTAGAATCTTTCTAACAATTTCAACAATATGTCCAGATACGGATTCAGCAATATCTTCAGATAAATCTATCCATAGATCAAATATATCGTAAATAAAATCCATTAATAATTTCGGTTGTGATGCATCGATATCTTTCAAATGATTGAACATAACATCGTTGATTTTACTGTCAAAAAAAGGTAATTTTTTTATCTCTGTGTATAATTTTAACCATGCTTTATACACATAAGTTGCATCAGCCATATTCAATTGGATCAATGATAATAATTCCAAAAGTTGTTCTTTGGTTGCACAAGCTTGTAACGCTATGTGTACAAGTGGATCAACTCTTTGGCGTGGATTTACATTACCATCACGATATAAATCTTGTCGATGATCGGTCCAAGTAATTGATATTGGTTTTGAACATGAAAATGATTTTCGACCGATAGCATCCTTTGCCGCCTTTTGATCTGTACAATTAACTGATTCAATTGTTAACGGATCAAAATAGAGTTTCCATAATGGTCCAAAGTAATCTTTTTCGCATAAATATGGTTTCATATCGAGACTATTTGGCTCCGAAAAGTTGACACATTCGATTAAGAGATTTATTAAAGCATTTATTTCTCTACCGGTGCAACTATGAAATTTAAATAATCGAATATAATCTTTAAGACTTGGTGGTTTATTGATATCATCTTTTCGACTAAAATAATAGCATATGTAGATGATTATTATTCATTTGGATAAAGTATTAGGATTGATATGATATATACATTGAAGTTCACATATGAACGCTCGCTATTAATATGGTGTAGTTATACGCCCTCAATATGAATTATACGGGATGAAAAATGCTATGAAACGAAGATTTTATTTTTTTGACCTTATTGATGAAAGAAGAAAAATAGTCAATTACCGAATAGTTTCATTTTCTAAACGACGGACCGAGTATGATGAGCACTTGCTTTATTCCTCAAAACAGTTTCGTATGAAAAATCATTATGGCAGATAGATCAAGTCGAATCAACATTCTCATAAACAGTGATTTACGGTAGAAAAATAGCCATGGTATATGATGAACGGTGTCTTGCAACGGCTGTATACTACGACATACTATCGAGTTAACGTGTACAACTACCTTAAGGGTATAGTTTTATGCTAAACCAAGCTTGTCGATGAATCATACGAAATCATTCGAAAGCGAAATTTATGGAGCATTTCACAATGCCGTGTTCTAATTTTCTAGCAAAAAGTGAATATCTTTTTGTCCTGTTTTGCAAGTCCACGGGTGTGGGTGGGTGTGCGTGTGGGTAGGGATGTGCAGTTTCAGTATACTGACCACCGATAAAATCACACTGGCACTTACCGATACGCTGATGACACTGACACTGTGCGCACTGTCTGCAGTGACACACTGACACTAAGCGCACTGTCTGCAGTGACGCACTGACGCTGAGGACACTGACTGTAGTGATATACTGACACTGATCGCACTGACTGCAGTGTCTGCACCGACATTTGTGTTCACTGAACCAGTGCATACGCTGACACTGACTGCACTTGTTGCACTGAAGCAAACTGGAGCACTGACGTACTGATATTGATTTCCATTGACTAGAATCTATACACAGGAGAAGACGACATATTCCGTTTGTAATATGCGGATTAATAAAAAATTTTCATCGAATGGAAGCATATCTGCTCAGTAGTTTGGTTTCTTGGTTGAGATAAGCTGCATACACTTTAACGCACATTCACTTTTTTCACCATTGCATAAAAACAAGTAAATAGAGCGAAAAATTTAGGTAATCGTAACGATACAAATAGTTTTACAAAGTTCACATAAATTTTAAGAAACGCTCATCTTCTTTAAATGAATCTGGTTGAGTAATAAAATCCCGTAGTTATGTGTCAATACTAGGACTATAAGTGGCGTATTTCGTTGAAATTGACTTTATTATTCAAAATTCTAGATTACTTAAATGAATCCTATTTTCTGGAGGAACAGGTATAGTCATTTCGCTAATTTCATTGATTGTCATAAATAAAGCCATGAGTAGTGCATACTTTGATAGAGTCGGCGACTTGATACTTCAGTGAGCATCGCCGTCCCGCGAATCCTGACGCCGGTGCAGTCAGTGTCAGTGTATGCGCTGGTTCAGTGAAAACCAATATCAGTGCAGATAGTGGAACCAGTGCAGCCAGTGTCAGTATCTGCACTGGTTCAGTGAATATTAATGTCGGTGTAGACACTGCAATCAGTGCCCTTAGCGTCAGTGTGTCACTGCAGACAGTGCACTTGGTGTCAGTGTACCACTGCAGACAGTGCGGTCAGTGTCAGTGTATCATTGCAGACAGTGCGGTCAGTGTCAGTGTGTCACTGTCAGTAATTCATTGTTTTCACCGAAACTGCACATCCCTGGGTGTGGGTGGGTGTGGGTGTGGGTGGGTATGGGTGTGGGCGTGGGTGTGGGTGTGGGTGGGTATGGGTGTGGGTGTGGGTGCGTGTGTGTGTGGGTGTGGGGTGTGGGTGTGGGTGTGAGTGCGAGTGTGAGTGTGGGTGCGGGTGTGGGTGTGGGTGTGGGGTGTGTGGGTGTGGGTGTGGTTGTGGTTGTGGGCGTGGGTGTGGGTGTTAGTGTGGGTGAGTGTGGGTGTGGGTGTGGGTGTAGGTGTGGGTGTGGGTGTGGGTGGGGTGGGTGTGGGTGTAGGTGTGGATGTGAGTGTGGGTGTGGGTGTAGGTGGGTATGGGTGTGGGCGTGGGTGTGGGTGCGTGTGGGTGTGGGCGTGGGTGTGGGTGCGTGTGGGTGTGGGGTGTGGGTATGAGTATGTAGCCACTTGATTGATACTTCCACCCACACCAACCCACACCCATGCCCACACCCATACCCACACCCACACCCACGCCCACACCCACACCCACACCCACACCCACCCCACCCACACCCACACCCACACCCACTCCGCCCACACCCACACCCATACCCTCTTCTAGGAACACTCTAAATAAAAATCGTTTTCCTGGGAACCCCGGAAAATAGGTTTCCGAGCGTTCGAAAATCCAAATAGGTTTTCGGGGTGATTCCAAAAACCTGAATACGTTTCGGGACTAATCTCGGATACCTTTAAAAGGTTCTTGAAAGGAAAAAATGGGTTTCCGAGCTTCGGAAACCTTAAATGCGTTTCATATAGTGACAAATCCGGAAACGCTTCACGGTTTCCGGAAAAAGTGATCCGTTTCCAAAAATCCAGAAACCCTACCACTTTTTCGGAAACTCTTCACGTTTCCGGGTTTGTCACTATATGAAACGCTTTTAAGGTTTCCAAAGCTCGGAAACCCTTTTTTTCCTTCCAAGAATCTTTTAAAGGTATCCGAGATTAGTCCTGAAACGTATTCAGGTTTTCGGAATCAGCCTGGAAACCTATTTGGGTTTTCGAACGCTCGGAAACCTATTTTCCGGGGTTCTCGGGAAAACGATTTTTATGTAGAGTGAAGAAGGTTGTATCGAAATCGAAGAAAGAATCATAAAAAATGCCATTGTTGTTTCCTGATAACCCTTGATCATTGGAACAAATAAACAGTATTTTATGTTTCTAATCTAATCATCTATGAAATTAGTTAGCAACTGTAGAGCTTCATAGAGAAAAAAGCTAGTCCGAGGGTATAAATGAAGAGACAAATCGTCTCATCCTAACACCCACATTCACCCTCATTCACATCCTTAACACGAATTTTTCGATTCAAATGAATAAAAACATAAGCCTAACACTCACCTATAAACTTGTTTTCCATCGGTACCTTGTATGATAACTTTAATTTGACGTTCACGAACCAGTTCAAGTAACGGTTTTGATGGTGCTTTTTCAAGTGGTTTTACCATTAACCACCAATGCATAAATTTAATCATTTTAAGTGCCAATACTTGTGAACCATGTAGTAAACAACGTGTACCAAATGGAGAAAAAATATATCGTAAGATATAAGCAGCTGGTTCAACTGATATTCTTGGAACATTTTCAACAAGATGATCAATAATTTGAAATACTGGGTTAAAATTACCATTTTTGTCTAAACCCGCTAAAATTAATTTACTTAGCTCAGTGCACGTAGCACTTAAAGTCGGGGCTGCCGCTGCCACGATTTGAAATTGATTAAAAAGTCAAATGAACAAATCTAAAGATCAAACAAGTTGAATTACAGTGTTAGAATGAATCTTTCACACCCGTTTATTCGGAGAAAATCACGCACTATTTGTAGGACAGTGGATCACTGATGTCGGGAATATGTCCAACAGGTGATCAAAGGAACGCGATAAGAAAAGTGCCACAACATATGATACAGATGATAACGTGTGTGATATGTGATAGACAGGAATGGAAAGATTCAAACACATATGACATGTATAATACGAAAGAGAACAGAAGAACGAAAGGAAAATACTATGAACGATAGGGAAAGAACCAGAACATATATAAAAGAAAAGAGGATAATGAATCGAGATGCGCAAACCACCACCAAACAACAGTTTAGTTTTAATGTTTTTTTATAAATATATCTAACATAATGTATAACTTCTCTCAGACACGTTCTCTGAGCTCAGCTGCTAACAGTATGACTAGATAACTTGTTACGGCTTCATCATCAGATATTAAACAAATTTTCAGTTCTAGACATCTACAAGTAAGAGTCAGCTACACGAGAAGTGGGATGGAAAAGCAACAAGAAAGGTTCATTCACTTTTTTTTCTCCTCCAATTTTTATGAAAAAGTGTATTTAGCGGGTATTTTTGGATGCTGAGCTAAAACCGTTTTTGCGAATGAGCACAATTTTAAGGGTTTGCAGAGGCCCAAAACGTTAAAAATACTGACTGAAGTGTAGAAGAAAAGTTTAAGATTCTAACAATATTCATCTAATTATATGTGCGAAACAAATTTTGCGTTTGATACAGTGAGTGTCTATAAATACCTATAATGGTCAAAACCAATTTGGAGCCAAACGTTTTGTACGAGTAGAAAACAGGAAATTATTTCAAATGCGAAAAGTACTATTTTCGATGTAGAACTTTTACATAAAGTT